AGCAGGAGTGTTTTTTAAAACCACATAAAAAATATCTTGCGCGCGCGCAAATGTTTAAAACACAATGTGAATTCACCACACCTCGAACGTTTGAAAGGCGTTTTATTAACCATCAAAGTACCGGGCAAGTTGATGTGCAAGTTCACTGCTCGAACTCTAAAATTTTGATTTTTCCGACATATAGCCTTTCTTTCACGTACAATTTTATAACTTTTTGAACTCAACTCGAACTCAGTCATGCATAAAAATTAACTAAAAATTGAGCCCGCGATAGCAAATTTCCCAAACAACCGCGTGGGGTGTTCTGTAACCTAAATTCGAACGGTCTGTGTCAGCGTTATAGGTAACGACAATAACACCAGAAAATTGTTTCGCAAATATTGCGGATTTGTTTAGTTACTAGGTCATTTTAAAGTTGTCTAAATTTTTTATACGCCCTGTATAGTCTCTCTTACTCTCTAACTGATTATTCCAAAGAACTATATTTCCAAGAATCGGATCAATAACGATGATACTTTCTCTTGTCCATGTCATCAAATATTGATCCCTGTAAGACACATATAAAACAGTCAAAGCCTGTATTGATAATTTCAATGCTGAAGGAATAAGGGATTACATTTTTCAGTAACAAAACTAATTTAGTTTTGTTACTGAAAAATGTAATCCCTTGTGTACCATCACAGGTACACTAGTGGTTGTAACTCTTCTGATATAACCATGGGCGTTCGTAACCAGTTTGCATCCATATCACAGGTTGTTTAAAACACACGCGTCAGTGCTGTATTGAATAAATCATTACTCGCCTTCACTTTGTAATTGTATAGTTAATACAACACGGGCGCTTGTGTTTCAAACATTGCTAATTGTTCTGGAATAGAAATTAAAAAAGCTAACCCACACAGTTATGTTTTTCTGTGCCATTTACATCAACAGGGTCGGTTACGTGTAGTAGGGTGGTGGTAGGGTCAGTTAGTGGTAGGCCAGGGCAAACATGAAGATTTCTTATCTCAGTTATCAGTGATGCAACTGATACATAAGTCACTGAGTGTTTATGTTCCACGTAAATGTGTTGATTTTCTGGCAGAAACGAACCAAAAGCTGCAACAGTAAAGCCCAAACCAGAATCTACTACTATTACCGTAAGACAAGTAGTTTTGGAAAGTTGTACGTATCACAATTCGCGACCAAGTCTTTTTCGTTTCTGAAAAAAAATACTATTCTAAATTAATGCCTCTTCAATCATTCTTTCATAGCTAACTCAAGTCTCAGCCATATATAACTGCGCTATTGAATTCAAACAGAATCTTGAATTGGGGGCCGTATACTTTTTCTCTGGGTGGGAAGGCTTAATACTTCGGAATGGCCCACCCCCTTCATACCAAACTTTTCTAGTGGCCCACCTCCCAAAAATGTCCCAATCCCTAAAACATTCAAAAGTACACAAATATTCTAAACAAAATTTAAGCTGTCCAAAATGGCTATTACATGCATTTTCGAACCCACATTTACTTAAGGGGGGTACAAACCATCTCAAAAAAGATAAAAAGGGGGATGAGAAAGTTTTGTAATAATGAATATGTGTGTTACTAAAAAGGGATGAGTTGGTCTAAAAAAA